TGGAAGCAACGGCCAAGGAATAAATATTCATCGAATTCCGGTTTCACGTCAAGCCGCGAAAATCTTTAAAATATTATATAACGCTAGAGAAAGCTTATGTCTGCATATCCTGAATATACTATGGCTTCGATAAAAAATTAATAATAGTGAGATCAGAATTACAAGAATTACCTCGTGCTCAGTAAATATTAAATTATAATATAATCCTTATATAATATAAAATTAATAGGTCTTATGATAAAGTTTTGTCTAGATCCGATTATTTCTAGATGATAACCTTCGCCGTATACTACTTGAAAGTTTTAATACAAATACAAAATTATCAATATTAATAATTAATTTTCATTTTTTTTACTAGAAATTATCATTAGTTATTTATAACTAAAATAAAAATCATTGTAAAATTTTAGATATAATATATATTATATAATTATTCATTCAGTTAATGTTTGTAATTTATATTAAGTCTTGTAAATAGTAGATACTATCATATTAACAGTGATATATTCATATCAATATATCTGTTTACAATTATTATATTATTCAATATTTATTATTATTTATATGAATATCATATTTCAAACATGAAAGCTACCCAAAATATATTGATTTATTTACACGCATAACCAAACATTCAAAGTTTGCTTGCACTATGTCATTTCCAAACGAAAATTCATAAAAACTGATGTAGTACGCCGTTCAATTTCTAAATCGATTTAGCATTTCATTTAAATTTAAAATATGCAGAAAATTTAATTAAAACATCATCTGCACAAGTATCGTGTGGTTGCAAATTACAAGTTTTTCTGATATTATTTTCATCGTGTAATATTTTTCTGTAAAACTCTGAAATTTGCGTTAAAACATAAGTCATTCACTATTATAGGAAAATGATTAAATGAATAGTTTAACACGATATATAATGTAAAAAAAATCGAGTAGGGCAACTGGGGCAACCTGTAACAGGGGTAACTATTACAGGTGTATTTCAATATATCTTGAACGATATAAAAATATATTTTAATTCTATGGACAATAAGTCATCCTGCATATAACTGTCCCGCAGGCAACGCAATATACAGAACTGTGCAGGTCCGTCATTTTTTACAGGCAATATAAAATTGATGAGATCAATCTATCATTCACGAGATCTATCGTTAAATTTCGGTTATTATTATTATATACCATCATTTCGTTTCAAATTTATCAATATTTGATAATGTATACTCATTTTTGAAATAGTTATTAATTTAATAGTTTTTTAATGCATTAAATCACACCTGTGGTCAGTAGAAACAAACCTGGGCTAGTTTACCATGCAAAATTATATACAGATTCAAGTGAAGACGAATGAAAATAATATAAGTTTGTAACATGTAAAGAACATGTAAATTGTGTAGCAGGCGTTATTATATCTTTTATTTGTTTAGATTTTTTATTTTCATTTTTTATAACTGTAGTATTTTTCAAACTATCAATTTGATTTAATTTTTGAGTTACCAAAGTTTATCACAATAATAATTATTAAATGTGTTAATTTGAAAGAGTTGCAAGAACTCTTATAGAAAAACAGTTCATCGCAGTAAAAAGTGTCGCAGTGTGAAAAAAGTTATAATAAATAGCAGTAAACATTTAAGTATGAAATTCATATTGCAAAACTCCACCGTGGGTTTTTGTCGATCACCTGTCAATATAAATATTGATTTAGGAATTCTTCAATTTTGTTCCTCAGTGATCTAGCTGGATCAGTACCCATTACATTGCATTAACAAATCTAAAATGAATTCTTCGAATCGATTATCGTATTTCTTGAATCCCGACAAAACTACATCTAGTCGTTCGATTAATAACATGTCCTATGCCATTTCAGAGGAACGGCTTTGCTTGCACAAAGTTTTTTTCGCATGTTATCTCGGTCGGAATAGGTCTGCGGAATTCCCATATGTTACGAGAGTTTTCTCATACATCAACTGAAGAATGTGTATTCTTCTTTGTAAGAGCCTCTTCTCCTATTTATACGCGTTGCCAAAAACGTGTAAAAAATGTGTGCAAATGAATTCTTACGTCAGATCGCAGACGATA